TACCACTGCATACGCATAGGCCTCCATCCCCCATATATTGCCTTATTGGCAATATATGTGGGGGATATTGCCATAGTTGTCAATTGCCACCATTGGCAGCCACACCCACGGGATGATATGTGGTAATCGATTCTCTTGTGCCGACACTACACGGTACCACGACACTAAGCATTTGTTCAGTGACTATAATTATTTAGCGTAATCATACCCCTTTCGCGTGGTGTTAAGAATTATCTGGATTTAAATAGATTTTTTTAGAATATAATGTAGCATTTTTGATTAATGCCTGTGTAGCATTCCATCTTGGTCTTGCGGGGTGACAATCGACCCTAAAACCTTTATATAGAAATGGCTGCTAGTACGAGTAGCTGTGCTGTAGGAAGAGGTTACTTATCATTGGTTGGTCAGCAAGTTCAATTGACACTTTAATGCAGGTTTATTTAAAATTATGATTTTTTTATGACTAAATTCCTGTCTTAAAATCGGAAATCTAAAATAAAGAAACTACTAAAAATAATGATGTATAAACTAGTGCCTCACTCACTTATCACGAGATCTCCTAATCTGTACGCCCGATTGTATTTTTTCGTACTATTGTACTTTCTCGACGTAGAAACCCAATAAGAAAGGCTTCTAGAAAATTAAATCCATGAGAGCGTGAAATAGTGTGTTACGGTTTGTAATATAAACTTAAACTTGCTGCAATAATGCCTGTGTGTCAAAAAGTTTCCACTGAGGAAAATTTTATTGAATTAACCTACCTCGACAAGTAAAAGCAAGATATAAATAAGCTTAAGACCATTAAGTAAAATGAAAACGAAATGAAATGCAATAAATTTAATATAATTGCAATGAATAGAAATCAGTCGGCTCGACCGGGGCAGAACCACGCTCTCACAGAGTACCAGCAAAAAATAGCAGTGTAATGCTGTTTGTTTCGTATGGTGAGTGTAGAGAACCGGAGACCCTTTTTATTGAAATCGAGGCATTCCAACTTAGTCATCAGGGGTGACAGCGCATTTGCATTTTGATCCCTAGTTGAGGTCTATGGGCCAGAACATCCACTTACCTTCAAGTGAACTGTGTGCTCGTTTGTCACCCACTTCTATAAAAAAATATACATACATGCATTTATTTACAAATCATAAAAATGAACAATTTTTGATATAATAAAAAAACATAATTTTTTTTCGTATTCGTAATAATTTATACCTTATGTAACGACCATAGAACATCTTCTATTACTAAATTGTTCAAAACATCCGGTAACTGGTTTAAAGTATGGCAAAGAAGATAACCAACACTGGACAATATAAAAAAGTTATCCAACAAGTTTATCTTATTAGTTGCAACCAATGAAATTTGCCTGAAGCCAACAATGTGAGTCGACGTGCCGTGGCGGCTTAAGACAATCCGCACGCGCCCCTTTAACATACCACAAGTATGTCGTATTGTATTCTTTAAATAATGCCGAAGAATATTGTTTAATGATTTCTTATATTTACGCAAACACTACATATTTAAATATAGTTTTATTTAAATGTGTAGTGTTCCATTAAATCTGACCGTCACTACGGTGGCGATCCTGTATGTCTTCACAGACTGCAGACTTGTGAACAAGTACAGGATCGCCCCCGTGTGACATGGGACGTTGAATACATCAGTCCTCCCATGAACAAGGGTGTTATAAAGTGCTCGAAACGTCGGGAATATAAAATAACTTAATGCACGCATTAAAATCCGTCAAAACTAGTTTTATTTTAATTATTATTATCATTGGTTTACTTGCGTTATTATTCTAAGCCTTTACTGTAAGAATTTCTATAAAAATATGTCATTACTCCTCAACCTATACAGCCTATCTTTTTTTTATTCTTAGAAAAAAGGGCTTTGTCGCTGAAGCGATTATGACGCCCTACAGCCTATCTACCGTCGAACAAAGGCCTCTCGTAATGATTGTCTAATTCATCTTCACCCTCGTTGATTTGTCATAACTATCCTCGTTCAACATGGAGGTTAGCAACTACGGTTTTTTAATACTTTCAGTTGTCATCAGGAAGATGCAACTGCCTTTTCTAAACCTCAGTTTCAGTCTTTTGTCGCCTCTTACGACACCCAAAGGTAACGGATTCTATTTAAAGTTAGAGTTAAAAATTGACCTTCAATAAGAATTACCTGTAATCTATATTGAATAAAAAATATTCTATTCTATTACGCCACGAAATTACGTAGAGAAATGTAAAACAACCTCTGTACAAGTAGCAGGAAAAGAGGTCTGCGGTTATCGCTGTTCATCGTATGAAATGCAGAAGCATTGTGCTGGTATTGACGCTAGTATTTTGTGATTGTGTAGTCCTCCTCCAGTGAAGCCAACCATACATGATACTCATTAAAACAGCTGCAATGTAGTGACATTATAGAACGATGCCTACAAGCACTAAATAATCATATCTAAGTTTCAACCCATATAGAGTATATCGTTACGGCATACTAAAAGTCGATAAATGATCAGGAAGACGCTGCTGTTACCCGTCTCCTGCTTCATTCCCTCTGTCACCTCTTAAGATACCCACGGGACTTAGGGTATAGGCATAGGAATTCTCTTACGATGTCAGAACATGCACACGTAGCAAGCAGTGAAGTGAAGAAAAATTGTCAATGTAATTCATATTACGTAAAAAAACACTAACACATGTATGCGTATAAATATGCGGATGTGAAAGAAACGATAGAGGTGTGAGGATCGTGCCAGGTGCAAATCCGTAGTCTTTGCTTACACCCTCTGGGTGAGAAGCGGGAAAGTTTATATATGTATGTATTTTTAATTTCTGTAACAAAACATATTTTGCCTCATTACAAGTCCGTCCGTATAGATAGCACTTAGCTATTTCTGCAGTTCAAGCAGTACTGCTGTGTACTTACAGGTCTGAAAGGTATAGAGACCCAGTACAACTACAGATGTGAGGCATTTTATTCTCATCGTCGTCTTCGAAGCTATCAACACATTTGCAGCCATCTTAGCTTGAATTGTATGCATACAGGCTGTGGCTGATTCCGATAGACTATGAGTTTTTATAAAACTGAGGTGACGAACAACATGATGGTAGCTAGCTACTGAATCCCATGGACCTGAGCTTGCGTAAAAATATCGATTTGTGTGACGATAGTTTAAGGTGACAACATCATAACAAAACATTGATGAAATGATTGCATAATTTGTGGAAGAGATATAGATGCGGCGCAAGCCAAACGCTAAAGCCAATCGTGCCTTTCGCTCGCTCTTGCAGCGCTCTCGCTCCGATCGTAACGTTACGATGAGCGTAACGTTACAATGAGTCATCCTTTTTCGTGTGTGCAGCCGGCGTTCATCGATTTATTAGACGTTACCACGGCAAAAATATCGATAGTTATCGCCGATATTTTTAAATCTCGATATATCAGTACTAGATATTTATTTTGGAGTATCGAATTCGTATCGATTTCGATATATTTTAAAACAAAACAAATCAAGACAACATTAAGCAACAAAAATAGCTACAAAAGCGTTCATGTACTGTTGTCGTTGTTTTTTACGTCTTCCAGCCGTCTATGAGTACCATTTTGGGCCTTGTCCTACCACATCATGCAAAAAAAAAACAGGCCGATATATCGACATTTATCACGTGATATATATCGATTCTGTTTAAAATATCGATACGGTATATATCGATATATCTTTTCACTTGCCCATCCCTACATGGACTCCAGCAATCAACTTCAAAGAAGGAAGGCTACAAATATGTTGTCACCTCTGGGGACTAAGATGGAATGCCTCACAGTCTGTAATTATACTGGCTCTCTCTAAGGTAAGACCGGAAAACAGTGCACGCACTACTGCTCGTTATAAAAACCCGAGCTAGGACACACCATAGTCCTAGCGGAAGACATCAACGTAATAGGTATAAGGATCTCCTAGGTGCGCGTTGTTTGTGTTTAGCAGTGAACACATACAACCGCCGGTACGACATACTCCGCCGATCGTTGAGTCCCGTGATTCCGTGAGGCGTCGAGGTCACCGGCCCCTAGGCGGATTCTTGGCACTTTAAGCGTTCCGTGCATTTTATGCCTAGTCGCGTTTTAAAGTGCCACCACCGCACTTCCCCCAACCCTTTTGTTGCAAAAGGGGTAGGCAGTGCCCTAAAGTGATTACGCCAACTTTTTTAATCATCCTAACCATCCGCGTCGCGCATTGCTGCCGATCGGCTGGTAATAGACAGGGCCGTATTAGATTACTGACTCACATTAGGTAGGTTCACACCATCATGTCCGATAAGGACAAGTGGGAGCCCCCACCTAAACCTAGAAGACCACCGGACCGTCCTGGCGTTTTGGAAAGACCCATTGCGTACCGCGATATATTTCACCCGGAACGGACTCGAGTAGTGTCCTCCTACTCGCAGATCCTGACCCGGAAGCCTTCGTCGCCGGGCAAGACGCCCGTACCGAGGACCGCGCTCTCCCCCATCGTACCTGAGCGTACGACTGGGGGTGAACCGTCGCTCCAGCAACAGCTGGCCAAGAAAACGCCACGAAGGCATACTCCACCCGAAAGGCAGCATCCCTCCAAGATTGTCGTCCAAACAAGCTTTCGTAGTGGACGTGTTATCGGTCTATCTAATGAAATACCCGATCCGTGGTCGCGATTTTATGTACTAAAACAGGTGAACGACGTAGTAATTCTTGCTATTTTCCCGTGAGTGCATAGTGCGTTTTTGATAAACATTTATAATAAAACAGCTCCGTCGCGCTGCTGTTAATTTGCGGGACGACCAGCCGCACCCCCGCCGCGATAAGAGATAGTCGACATAATTGCTGTCCCACTTTCGCACCCGCTTGTGCTACTGTGCGGACCGTCCCACGTCAAACCCAGCTGTTTATAATAAACAACATTCACCATGCATCAATGCGCCGCTTGTCATTCAACGATTGACGACTACGATTTCTTAAAATGCTGCACCTGTTTACGTTTTTATCATGGCCAATGCGTTGGTGTTTCGCCCACCGAATTCGAGAGACTCTCTTGTGATACCAAGATGAGTTAGATATGTCCTGAGTGTCGTAGCAAAAAAACCGCGCAATGATAATTCAAATACGCCGGTCCGTCCGTCAACACCTACTAGTAGTGCCCACGCCGACGCCAATGTGACATCACGCCGTGGAAAGCAGGGAACGGCCAAAGAAGCGGCCATAGTCGCTTCCGTAGCCGCGCAAAGCGGCTGCTCCGGCTCATGTGTGTCGCGCGTGGAGCTGCGTACCATTATGCAGGAGGAACTTCGAGGTTTTATTAAGGAATGTATTAGAACTCAAACTTGAAAATCCAATGCGTTCCAGAAAGGAAGTCTAAAAACCTATTGTCCATTGTTAAGCAACTTGGTAAAACCGTATCTTGTCCTGTAACTGAAGCGGATATATTTTACTGTTCACGTATTGCGAAAAAGAATCCTGAGAGCCCACGTCCCCGCTCAATTTTAATTAAGTTAAACAGCCCTCGCTCGCGAGATACGCTTTTGGCCGCAACTATAAAGTACAATAAACATCATCCGCAAGATAGACTGAACACCGGGCATCTCGGCTTCGGAACAGAAAAAATGACTGCCATATACGTAACAGAAAATCTGTTCCAACGGTTATCATAAGCTAATCTAAATTTTCTCAAGCTAAGCGTACAGTTAATAAGGCTTAAAATTCAATACGTTAAACATTTATTATCAAAACGTACGCGGCCTCTGCACAAAAACCACAGAGTTTTATAATAGTGTATTAAGTTCTAATTACGACGTCATTTGCTTATGCAAAACATGGCTTAACAATACTACATACGATGGCGAACTTTTTAGTGAGCGATATCTAGTGTACAGGCGCGACCGGGAGACTAGTGGCTTCCATAGTAATAAACCTGGTCCTGGTGGCGGGGTGCTCATTGCAGTATCCAAACATATCTGCTCTCGTAGGATGTCACATCTGGAAAGCGACTGTGAGGATGTATGGGTGGAATTAGAGATAGGCGGAAGAGGTAATTCCTCTGAAAACATATTATTGTGTTGTGTATATCTTCCCTCACCTTTACAAAAAACATTCTTGATTGTTATATTGAAAATACAAACCGTGTGTTGGAATCAAATGCAAAAACATTAATTATGGGCGACTTCAATTTGGGTAACATTATCTGGGGTAAACGTAATACGTCTTCTCCACTCAGTTTTATAACCAAAAGCTCATTAGATAATGCTCTACTGGATTTTATTGCTCTTAATAATCTCACTCAATATAACTATATTTTAAATGACAAAGGTAGAATTCTTGATCTCGTTCTCTCCAGCACGCTGAAGGTCAGTGGTGTGGTGCGTGGTGACTCTCTTCTGAGTAACCCCGACTCTCACCACCCTCCCTTAGTTCTAACATTTTCGTGTTGTGATCCGCCAAGTTTATTGCCTAACGCTCAAAGCCAAAGATATAACTTTCATAAGGCGGACTACGATAAAATCATAGCACATTTAAATTCAGTTTCATGGGACCGTATACAATATTCATGTTCGGTTGATGTCATGGTAAGAGAATTTTATGCTATTTTAACAGACACGATTACTAAGTACGTTCGAAAATGTAAACCCTCCACAAAAAAGTTTCCAGTATGGTACACAAAGGAACTCATAAATCTCCTCAAGGCAGAAAACAAACTTCGTTTGAGGTACCGAAAATACAAAAATCCACTGGACGAACTTGCATTACAAACACTTAGCAAAAGATGCGCCGAATTAATAAGCACCTGTCATAAAAACTATGTCGCGGATCTGGAGGGAGCACTTTCCAAAAATCCAAAGTTATTCTGGACGTTCATAAAAAATAAAAAACGTAATAGCAATGCTTACCCTACATCCATGACCTTCGGAGATGACAAAGCAGATAATGGTGACGGCATTGCAATCTCTTTGCCCATTTTTCTCATCGTTAAACACTAGCTCAGTACTGTCTGTGACAACTGTTGACCAAATTTGTACCTCAAATTATCTTGCTAATCTACTTCTCACAATCAATACACAAAACTCTTACTGGTCTAATCGACCAAGGAGCTGACCACACATACCCCCTTTGTAATCAACTGCCGCGAACGTATCCTTGCCTTTAACAACCATTTTCAATATGTCTTTAAAAACGGGTACTTTCCCTTCGGTCTGGAAACAGGCACGTATTGTCCCAATTTATAAATCAGGAGACGCAGGATCCGTCAGAAATTACAGACCAATATCCATATTGTCTGTCTTCGCTAAAGTTTTTGAATCATTAGTTTGTCCTGTTTTGGCTTGGCACATAAAACAAATAATCTCACCCCAACAATCGGGCTTTTTAACATCTCGCTCTACAGCTACAAATCTCGTTTCGTTTGTGGACTATGTCTCCAAGTCTCTCGATTCCCGCTTGTCTGTGGACACCATCTACACAGACGGCGTTTGACATTGTAGATCATAACATCTTACTTCACAAACTCTCAATTTTGGGCATCACTGGCAATCTTCTCGAATGGTTCTCTTCATACCTCAGGCAGAGAAAATCGAGAGTTGTGTTAAATGATTACTCCTCAGAACCATTTCTACCTACGTCTGGTTGGTATTCCTCAGGGTTCCCATCTCGGTCCGATCCTTTTCAATATTTTTATAAATGACTTAGCGTCTGTTTTTAAACACGCGACCTGCTTTATGTACGCAGATGACATGAAATTGTCCTTGAAAATCAAAGACCACAGTGACTCACTCCTATTGCAAGAGGATTTGGACCGGATGTCTTTGTGGTGCATTAAGAACAGACTATTTTTCTGATAAATGTAAAATTATAAGATTCTCAAGGTGTGTAAATGTTCCGACACCAATTAATAATATTGATGGTCATCCTTTGATAGAAGTGGACTCTGTTCGAGATCTGGGTGTGATTCTGGACAAAAAGTTGAGGGTTCATAAGCACGTTGATGGAATTGTTACAAGGGGTCTTCAAATGTTGGGGTTCGTGTTGCGTAATTCTAAAGAATTTAAGAGGACCTCTACAAAAATATCCTTGTACAAGTCTTTAGTCCGTTCCAGCCTCGAATACTGTAGTCAGGTCTGGTCTCCATTTTATGACATTTACGTGAAACGCATAGAGCGTATCCAGAAGCGTTTTTTGTGGTATCTTTCGTACCAAACTTACAAAATAAAGGATCTACCCTCATACGAAGACCGACTGACGTATTTTAAATTAAGTACCCTGCAACAGCGGAGGCTTTTGCTAGATTTCATGTTGCTACACAAAATCGTCAATGGAACCATAGACTGTCCATACCTACTAAGTGCAATAAATTTCAAGGTACCTTTTAAACTAGTGCGTGTCAGCCGATACGTCCCCTTTTCAGTTGAAGGCAGTAAAACTACTTTGGGTCACCACGCTACCATAAACAGGTTACAGAGGCAATATTATCAGCTCTGCAAGACATGTGACGTTAATATTTTTGCTGATAAGCCTCAAAAATTCAAACGAAAAATTATGCAGTCCTTTACTTTTAACTAACATTTAGACCTAGTTTTAAGTTTATAGTTGTAAGTTTTAAAAAACATATTCGTTGTCCACATTGCATTACCTTTAATTAAGATGACACTTAGATATAAACCTTCCTGTAATTTGTAGTATTTACATTGTGTTCGTGTACTTCTTGTTGGTTGTCCCAAATAAATCAAAAAAAAAAGAAAAGAGGCAATGCGTCGGATCCCCCTATTCCTCGGTATATTGTACATCCGAGGAAGAAAGCGACCGACAACGGGGGTCACCACCTAAATCGCCATCGCCGACTAAACCAACCCTTCCCAGATCACCGGATCACCATTCCAGCATGGATGCTGTTGATCTGGAGCAGGGAGGAGAAGGGTCGTACGGGTGGAGCTCAACCACTTATGCGACCCTAGCGCCATCTGCCGGGCACTCATTGTCCGCACCAACCACCAACCCGTCAGGCCGGCCACCGGACGATGGTCAAAGGCCTTCGACAAGTTATGCCCAACTAGTAGCTGCCCCAGCAGTACCAAGGACAAGGACAGCTGAGGCACCAAAACCAATGGAGGAAACAGCTAAGAGATACCCGCCCATAGTGGCTGAGTGCTTACCGGACTGGACGAAGCACTTCGAGGTGCTCAACAGGAAGTTGGGCCACCCACCGAATGCTCATCCGTTCGGTAAGTGGGTCAGATTTACCCCCCAGAGTCCGGAAGAATTCCGGACGGTACAGAAGTACCTGATAGAGATGACCGACAAAGTACCAGCCATGTCCTGGTACTGTTATACTCCCGAAGAGGACAAGCCCACAAAAGTTGGCATACGGGGGCTATCAGTGGGTACGGATCCATCGGCGATAGAGGGGGGCAAAGGGGTTCCCGATAAATTACGTGAAAGGGATCCACCCCCCCCCGTAGAGGCAGACCTGGGTGCCTCTACTTTGCGCAGCTGGACCACCTGAGCCTGGAGCGCCTCAATGAGCTTTATCAGATCGACGAACTCCTATTCATGAGAGGAGTCGTCATAGAGGCCTGGCAAGGAAGAGCAGGCCCATCACAGTGCCACCGCTGCCAGGCCTTTGGCCATGCATCTACAAATTGCTTCAGGCCAGTGAAGTATGTTCGCTGCGCCGGAGATCATATCGCCAGTAACTGCCCAGGGGTAGAGACGAAGAACCGCGATGCAAATTGCGCCAAAAATCATACCGCCAACGATCGCCGCTGCCCAGTCCTGAGGAGGATTGCAAGGAAGCAGGGGATTGCTCTACCGGGAATACTCCCAGAAGAGCCCAGAAGAGTCCCCCAGAGTCGTGCCAGGGCCGTGATCCAGGAAGACGGGTGGACTACAATAAGAGGAAAGGGAATGTAACCTGCCCCCCCTCCCTCCACCCGTCTCGGCACCCGTAGAAACGGTGGTGCCGATCACCATTACATCCAAGGCAACCACCGGGGGCGACTCTCCGCCCCCCCCCCGCTAACGATGCAATTGAGCGCCAAACCTCGCAGAGGAGTATGCGGGGGAGGAAGAAGAAGGAGAAAGTGCAGCCCCCTCCTCAGGCAACAACGTCTACCCCAACCCCAACGGTAACGATAGCCCAGGCGCAGGTTACCAAAGAAAAGAAAACCAGAATGGGTAGAGTGCCAGAAAGGGCTCTATCCGAAAATAGAGCCCGCTCTACATATAGAGCGCGCTCTACCCATACACAAAGACCAGTTCAACAACACCCGAGACCAGTGCCAACGCC